GGCGAGGAGGTATGGTTCCGTAGGTTGGACAACATCGTTAGCAATGCAGGGGCCTTAGGACTGGTGAGTCAGCTGCTCGACGACCCAGAGCTGCTCCTTGTTAGTGCCGAAGAGCCACTGACGTTTGCAATGGCTGAACGTCACGCCAATTGGTGACGGGCGATGTTGGAAGAGATGAAGGCTATCGAGGACAATGGCATGTGGGAGCTGGTAGATCCACCAGTGGGCTGTAGGCCGATCAGCTTGAAGTGGGTCTACAAGGTGAAGCGAGATGAGCGCAGCACCATTGTCAACTACAAGGCTTGGCTCGTCGCCCGCGGCTTCGTGCAGCGTGAGGGCATCGACTTCGAGAAAGTCTTTGCTCCGGTGGCGCGAATGGAGTCCGTTCGCTTGCTGTTGGCTATGGCAGCAGCGAAGAATTGGCATGTCCACCACCTCGACATCAAGTCTGCGTTCCTCAACGGTGAGCTCGCGAAGAAGGTCTTCGTCAAGCAAGCTCCGGGCTTCGTCGTCAAGGGCGCTGAGCACAAGGTGCTCCAGCTGCGCAAGGCGCTCTATGGGATGCGGCAGGCCCCTCGGGCGTGGAATGCCAAGCTTGACGCCACCTTGGGTGAGCTTGGGTTCACTCGCTGCGCTACAGAGCACGCGCTCTACACGCAGCGACGGGGGAAGGAGGAGCTCGTCGTCGGCGTGTACGTGGATGACTTAATCGTCACCAGAGTGCGAGCAGAGGACATCGACAGTTTCAAAAGCGAGATGGCGGCTTATTTCAAGATGAGCGATCTCGATGCGCTCTCCTACTACCTCGGCATCGAGGTGAGGCAGGAGAAGCAGAGCATCTCCCGAGGTCAGCGCGCCTACGCAGAGAAGCTGCTGGAGCGCAGCGGCATGGCGGAGTGCAAGCCAAGCGCGACTCGGATGGAGGAGCGGCTGAAGCTGAGCAAGCATAGCATGGCTGCGAAGGTGGACGCGATGCGCTACCGGAGCACCGTCGGCGGGCTACGCTACCTCACTCATACCCAACCGGACATTGTGTTCGTGGTTGGGTACGTCAGTCGTTTCATGGAGGACCCGCGCGAAGATCACAGGTCGGCAGTGAAAAGGTTGATGCGCTACATCAAGGGGACGCTCGATCAAGCGATCATCTTCCCCAAGAGTGGCGGCAAGCGTGGGTTGCGACTCACGGTCTTTAGTGAGGCACCCCAAGGCTAAGGAAGGTGAACCGGAGCTTACTGTATTCAACGATGCGAACATGGTGGGCGACATTGATGGGCGATGGAGCACCTTCGGCGTGCTCATCTTCTTTGGAGCGGCCCCCAATGCTTGGCAGTTGCTGAAGCAAAAGATCGTGGCGCTGTCGACGTGTGAGGCGAAGTACGTCGCAGCGGCCACGACGGCGTGCCAGGTTGTCTTGCTATGCCAGCTACTGGGCGAGCTGACCGGCGAGGAAGCTCACCCGCCAGCTCTGATGGTGGACAACCAGCCCGCCATCGCCCTCGCCAAGAACCCTGTCCTCCATGACTGGAGCAAGCACATCGACATCAAGTTCCACTTCCTCTGAGACTGCATTGATGGAGGGCTGATCGTCATCGAGTTTGTCGAAACCGGCAGATAGCTCGATGACATCCTCACCAAGTCACTCAGACATCCGCGGTTCATGGAGTAGAGGAAGATGATTGGCATGGATGGGGTCAAGGCATCAGGTTAGCAGCAGGATTAGAGGAAGAATTGTTAGACATAATCTGCTGCTCCTGTCTCTCTTGATTGGTCGGCACAGTTGTCGTCTCCTTGGTTTAGGAGATGGAACTGGTCGGCTTGGCTGATCACTCACTGCTGTTGCAGCAGCAGTGAGGCAGTAGATAGAAATAGCTTATTTCAGTCTTGTAGTGTAGAGATGGCTGAGCTAAGCTTTGTACCTTATGAGTAGATAGTTGGTGTACCCTTGTACCTTAGGAGTAGGTAGTTGGTGTACTCTTGTACTCCGGTAGTATGTAGTTGGTGTACTCACCAACAACTATGTACCTGGTAGAGGTACAGTTAGAGTTGTATATATTCTATCCAAAAGCAATATAGCAAATCAGTTCAGTTTGCCACATCCAGAATCAGAGTTGTTCGGTCGGCGCTGGGCTTGTGCTGTGTGTGTGAGTTATTCTCAATATCTTTTTCTACCTCTAGCCATAATGAGTGAGTGTGCTGGTAAGCTTACTGCTCACCTGTGCAGGGCAGCTGAGGGACCAACAACGACATCATCCGCCGTGGGGCGGCGTCCGCGGCGACCTAGGAAGAGTTCACGCATCCCTTCTCGTCTGGACGGGTCAAGAGGCAGTTTGAAAGTCTCTTGGAACTCTTGGAACGCTGCCTGGTCCGGCTCCTCAGTTGGAACGTCCTCGCCCAGCTTCTTCATCAAGATTTTCCTGGCCTGAGCGTCTGGCTTGTTGGCGTGGAATTTGCGTTTGGCTGCAAGCCTTGCACTCCTCTTCGGCACCAGCTCCGCATCTTCTCGTGAGTCGGCACGCCGCTTGGTGATTCTCAGGTGCGGTGGTGAAGGCACCACCCACTGTCACCGTGTTGATGAAAGACGACATGGAGCCTAGAGAGTGCAGGCTGGAGTCCAGATTCCGGGGGAGCGGTGAATCAAATGCCACCCCCGCCAAGCCACCGGATCGTGGGCTTGAAACATGCAGCTCATGGACGGCCAGCGGTGGAGGAGTTGATGGGCCTGGGCCAGGCAGAGGAGGCCCGTCAAGCTGCACACCAGTCGAAACTACCGCTGCAGCCGTTTGTGTGGACATCGCCCGCCTCTGCCGCCGGGCCATCGCCTCCTCCGTGAAGCTGTAGTGACCTCAGGCCGTGTTCCCCCAACGACCGTGACTAGCGCGCGGGAGAGATCCTCCTCGGCTGCCTCCAGCTCCACAGAGCGAGGAACGACGACAATCATTAGAGTAGTAAGGCAGCCCGCTCTTATTACCAGTGACGGTTCGTAAGATGATGCCCTGTTGTTACTCGTCTCTAAAAATAATTACTGTAGCAGTGATAATTAATGTTCTCCGAACCATCGTTTTCAAGGGCTATCGTCCCCGTCCACTTGAACGTCTAATCAAACCTGAAAATCTCAGGTTCTTTACAAACTATATGTTTCTAGATACCATCCTTGCAAAATTTCTTTTTTGTTTGTTTGTTTTTAACCATTTGCAATAGTGACTTAGAATAATACTAACTATATGTTTCTAGATCACTTATAGTTTGTAAGTGCTGGAATATAATTTCAATTACCCTCTTCTTCACTAAAAATTAATTAGTTAATAATCCCAGTGTATTTAAAAACTTAGGCCTCTCCTTTAGAACGTACGAATGAAAAACCGCAGGAATACGAAAAACATAGGAATAAGATATGAATGCGGGTACAAAACAGAGGATTGACATAGGAACAACTGTTTGGATGATCATAAGAAAAATATAGGAAACAACAGTACTAGTAAATATGATTAGAGAAATAAATTATGATTTTATCCCTAGAGAAGGGACATAGGTAGTAGAAAAAGAACGGACAAGCTCACATGGTTGCCTCGATCCTACGCGATGGGAACAAAATAAAGAGATCAGACTGGATGCTTTTTTCCTTGCAGTTTTCCTTTGAAATCTCTGGCATGAGAAAGTTTCCTCTGTTTTTCCTACGGATGAATCCTCCATTCGAAATGGATGAACAGTGTACTACTAATGGAAAGTAGAACCCTTTGTTTTTCCTCCAAAAATCCTTCAATCCAAAGGACTAGGATTGCAATGACATGTAGCTATTCCATTTCAACTATGACCACACCATCAATTTTTGTATAACTTAATCTATTCGATTTTGAATTTGGCCAATGGATATTATATACTAAGTTTGGTGACTTGAAATTTTGATGCGTTGGAAATTGGAATTTTTAGAAACAGGTCACGCTTTTCAAACCACTAAAAATCAGATACAAGAATTACTCAAGTTTAACGATAAAAAAAATTCTACGGAGGCGAAGAATAAGGTGTACACATTCTACTTTCTTAACATGTACAATGCCAACTTGTATGTAATAAAACTTCTTCATATATCCTTAGATGTGTCAAGCAGGGTGCTAGAGTTAGCTCACCTATAGGAACGTACTACCTCTGTGCAATTATCAATATACAACATTCTTATGTCACTTTCGAAGAGTCATTTTCAGCATAGGAGGCATCAAATTCACAAATGTAAGGTAGACGTTACTTCCAAAGAGACTTAACTCATATGTCACTTGCACATTCGAAATTTGTTCAAGACAAACGCCTCGCATCGTGCACGTGTTAGGCTCTCATTGGAGGGGAGGACGTGCAGAGGCCCTCGCCACTCTCCATTTCTTTACACGTGAGAATTGGGCCATTTTGGAAGTGACCTAACTCTGAGGTACTAGAAGAGTCACTTTTTGAAATACTCAACTTTGTTCGATAATCAATTAATACCAATTTGGTGCCACTTTCAAAGAATCATGGTTGAGATCATGGTTACCGATTCCTCAATATTAAGTTAGAATGCATGTTACCCTAGAAGTGAACTAACCCTAGTAAGTGACTTGGTGGGGATCGAATACTTTTAAATTATATAAGTAATCACACATCCACCGTTGAAATTAGATATTTCAAAATATACATATCACTTGGGCTTTCGCATTACTAAAATAGAACCTTCACATTATATAGTACAATTTGTTGAGTTCCATAAAAATTAGAGACCAACTAATTATAATAATAATAATAATTTGCTAGGAACTACTAGTTCATATAAATTTATTTAGTTGAATGAAAATGTAACTTTAGTACTAGTACAGGAGCAAGAAGATGCATGGTTACTTCAAAAGAAAATATAAAAAAAAAAAAAAAAAAGAAGAAGAAGATGCAGGGTGGCCGGGTGACTCGTCGGTTATTCGGCGGAGTGGAGATCTGGGTCGGCCAATGCAACAAGAAGACGCGCTTGTGATGAACTGAACTCGCTAGCGTGGCTTCTTGTTGAGCCCGAAGCGCCATGCGAAGAAGGCGTCGCGCACCCATGCAGGTGACGCCGCGAGCGCGGCGAACAGCAGCGTCATGTTGCCGTAGACGATCTCCCTGGGCGGTCGCGCGCTCATGACCCGTCGCGCCACGTGCCTAGCGAAGACGCCGGCGTCCGTGGACTTCCTCGTCTGCGACGCCCGGCCCCGCTCCTCGATGGCCGCCGCGAAGTCCCGGTACATCTGCCACTCCTGTCCACCGGCGGCGAGCTGCGCGGCGTTGGCGCGGCCCAGCCCGGACCTGACGGCGCCCGCGACGACCTTGACGACGTGCACACCGAAGGGGCGGAGCTCGAGGCGCAGGGCGTCGGTGGCGGCGTGCACGGCGGCCTTGGACGCGCAGTAGGGCGCGGCCCAGGGCGTGGCGGCGGTGCCCACCACGCTGCCCATGTTGACGACGCGCCCGGCCCCGCGCGCCGCCATGTGGGGCGCCACGGCGCGCACGGTGCGGACCTGGCCCAGGAAGTTGACGTCCATCGCGCGGGACACGGCGGCCGGGGACAGCTCCGCCAGCGGGCCCGTGCACCCGACCCCGGCGTTGTTGAGCAGCACGTCGATGCGGCCGTGCCGCGCCAGCACGTCGCGGACGGCCGCGGAGACGCTGGCGTCTGAGGTCACGTCGAGCGGCAGCGCCTCCGTGGACAGCGTGCCCGCGAGGTCGGCGGCTAGGCTGGGGACTCGGTCCGGGACGTCGGTGGCCACCACGTGGCAGCCCAGGCCCGCGAAGGCCTGGCAGTACTCGTAGCCGATCCCGCCCTTGGCGCACCCCGTGATGAGCACCACCGGCTGCTGCTCGCCGTCCTGCCGCTGCTGCTGGCCGTCATCGTCGCCGTCGCCGGTGGCCATGATGAGGTGGGGGTGGGGGTGAGTGTGCGTGTGCTTCGGAGACCACACGACGCAACTTGGCAAGCAGCGGGATGAGGGGCGTCGGTCTTATATAAGTGCACACCAGGGTTAACTAACGGATTAATGAAGATTATTATATAGCTAATTAAATAATTCATGCGCGCGCCGGTTGGTTAGTGTTTGGGATGTCCGTCGTGAGGATTGGTACGGGGAATATGCAGGAGGGATATGCGGTTGGAGCTGGCGCCTTTCCCTTGGGCTCTTCATGCACTCTCTGCGTCTGCCGTGCGTGTGGCTTGGTGTCATCTTCTTGGGAGCTCCGGCGATCTTCCGCGGCGGGCGGCCGGCGAGATCCTGCACTGCACGGCCCTATAGTTTAATGCACGTTTCTGCCTGAACCACCTGTGCAAGCTGAAGCAGAGGCATGTTTCCATGCGCCACTCAACCTTGCAACTGATGCCGGAATGGGAGAAGGAAAGAGCTGGGGAGTGATGCCTTCAATTGGTATCCCTATAAAAAAAGAAGGATCAATTGGTATACCCAAAATAAATTTGAATACATAGGCTATGATGATTCTAAATAAACATCCATAAAATACAAATGCTGAGGAAACAATTCATCGGTATACCAAATACTTCATCAACTATTTGGAAAATATTTATTTCTTGGCTTCTCTTGCCCTCAACAATATTGTAACCTATACCTACCTTATCTCTACATAATATTGAAGTATGGAGCATTTCCATGGTCCTTCCCTCTCTGCCGTGCCATGTGAGTTAGAGCTGCGTGTTCAGGCAAATAATCCCAAGACGAATTGGAACAAGTAGCGTATTCGTGGTTCATCACTCTCTTCCAGGCTGAATTGTGCTAGTATCCTTCATCAGGTACAAAATTGGGTTTGGAGTGAAACCAGAGCCCAACAAGGCTTGCCCTTTACTGGGCTCGACGTGCACAACCTAGCTCCCATAATTTTGTCCGATAACTCTCAACAAAACAGCGAGGCAAAGGCATAGGACAGCCCAACCCAGGCCATTATTTGGGTGCTACCAATCTAAGGTCGAAATTTATCACCAAAAAAAAAAAAAAATAAGGCCACCATATCTTCTAGGCCATGTGAAAAACTAAAAGCCCAATTGACACTTGCAATTGGACCGAAGGCCCAGATCGGCAAGATTCACGTAGTACCAATTTTTGAAGTATATATATATATATATAGCGAATTAACGAGTAATAATCATGACCAGGAATGGTTTATTTGTTTATTTCATTGGATCTGCAATTCGTCAGCATGTCTTCTAGAAATTAGATGTGAGGTAAATTTCATTATTCTTCTTATGTCATTAATTATGTAGCAAAGCCAAAGTTTATTCTGGAATGTATATTTTGTATATATAGTAAATTTTGTTTCTTCTGTTTATGTCATACTAATTTAGAAAACTTGGGCTTTGCTAAATAATTAATGACATAAACAGAATAATATATATAGTAAATTTTGATTATTCTGTTTATGTCATACTAATAATATAGTAAATTTTGGCTTTTGTTTATTCTAAATTACTAAATTTTGTTTATTCTGTTTATGTCATACGGCCCAGGTGGAGGCCTGGGGTGTAGGAGACGTACGTCTGCGCCATGTTGAACGAGAACCGTCAGTACTGTTTTTGTCATTAATTTATGTGAAAGTATGCTTTGGCTTTGCTGCATTTTCAAATTTTAGGGCCCCATTATGTGCTTCAGCTTCACCTGGTGAGCAGGGGCCACAAATTCGCTTTAGAGACAAACTTTGTCCGATACTAGGCCAAAAGATCCGTGATTATGCAATGATAGTGTTTTTTTTACCTATATTTAATACTCCATGAGTCTTAATGTGGTAATCTAAATAAGGCCTGGTGAGCAGGGGCCACAAATTCCGAGGTACGGCCAAGTGATTATGCAATGATAGTGTTGAGCTGGTGTGATCTAATCAGGACGCTTTGAATGCCTGAGTCCATCCAAAAAATGGCTATGCTCACATGCATGCAGAGAAGTGTTCTCATTCAGCAATCAGCAGCCGGTAGCTAGCTACAAAACAATTCCCTTTCCTTTCCTTTCCTTTCCTTAAAACAAATCAGTGGCACAACAAAAATAGGCCTGCTATTTTGGACCGGCACTGTTTCTTCATGTGCCTGCTCCACTGCTGCTTCAGAATGCTATCTTTTTCTTTTCAGAAACACAACACACATATTCTGGTATATATCAAATTCAAATTACTGAATTATTAAGTCATCTCTGCAGCTAGGTCTCCTCGTCGCATATCGCAGATGATGAAAGCACAAGTTTGCATCGTTAATTCCAGTCATTTTGATAAATTACCTACCTGTGGCTGCAAACCAAAACTTACTATGGAAGTTGCTTACAGTGACGGATCTACTGGCATACCCTGCCGTCCAACCCATCATGATAGATAAGAATAATGTAAAAGAATCCTGACGCGTCACCTACCTCCGTAGATATGATTCATGATCCCAAGCCATGCACCGTTGCACACCCGCGCGGTCGTGCCACTTCGCCTGCCTTGCTCGCAAGACTTGCGAGTCGCGATCCTGTCCAAGCTACCAAGGCACCAAGGCACCAAGCACCGCCAACACCCACCGAGAGCCTTGGACTTGGCCACGCCAGCACCGAAGGCGGCGTCCAGTCAGGTCGATCCCAAGCTTTAGAATACAGAGGTTAATTGTTGTTAATTAGGTATGGATTGGGATTTGGGTAGGAGACGGTACTGAATTGACTATAGGGCAAGGAGCTGAAACATTTCCGCTGCTATCAATCCGGCAAACATATGCTTGCAAATCTCACAGGTCACGGTTTTGAAATCTTCTTATTTTTCTAAAAACTTGTCTGATTAATTATTTATCATTAGTTTATGTATCAGGGAGACCGCTCGACATCAATACATCATGGATTGATTCCCCAAACATCAAAGATATTCATATCATGTGAGTTTTATAATCATAGCAAATTACATCTAATCATAGCAAATCCGCCACTGATCGCTTATATATAATTGGGTGAACAAGTCCAGTCAACGTTCCAAACTCCCTCAAATACCACACATGTGACATGTATTATTATTGTACGATACATGGCTCATCTCATCAGAGACTACAATTCACAATATACAGTAGTCAGTAGGTCATTTTATCACGTCACCGGAACAGCCATGTACGACTAGTTTATATGACTAACAAAATGGAATCAGGAGACATTCCGGTACATCACGGTCATATTATGGCGGCTGAGTTGAATTCGTCCACGACAATGCTGTGTTCTGAGTTGAATTCGTCCACGACAATGCTAAATATATATATAAACATATATTGGTGAAGAATTGCATACTAAATATATAAATTTATAATTGGTGAAGAAGTTTTGTATCTGTCCGTCAATTTGGTGATATAATCCTTGTCGATGCCACTAGCAGCTAACGGTCAACGTAGCTGGTTTGTCATTTCTTAATGCCCTATCACAGTACCTGAGAAGGATTTCCTAACTCCTTGATAGCTACTGTCTCGGCCTGGGGCTACTGCATGAATGATTATTTGTGTCTGTTCCTATAAACAAAACCTGAACAATGTAAACATAACCAGAATTTGCAGGTTCTCCTAGTGTTTAGCATTCAATATTTAGTATGAGCTTTTTACTATCAAATGTCTCCTAGAGAGAATTTCCATGTGCTAGGATTGATGTAGTGTTTTTATTACTACTTAAAACACTAAAAGAACCTCACCATTTTGGTAGTGAAAAAATAGAAGGAAAAAAAACTGTCTTTCAGTACAGTGGTATTCCTGTGTATGTAGAATGATCAATTATTCCATTTCATCAACAGCATCTAAAAACCTACCATATGTTATCTAAATAAAATGTAAATCCAACCCAGATAGCATGTCAACACATGCATATCTTCAGTACGTTTTCTCGTTCAGATAGTAGTAGTTTATAAATGTACCACGAATTGAACAATCCTGGATTCTGAAATCCACAAGACAGTAGTAACTGGTAGGTAACTAGTTGGTGTTCTAGAGTCTAGACGATCTGTTTCCTAACTAGGTTTTTCATGCATGTGCGGCAAGAGAATTACGAGTTTTTCAACATTCTCTCCGTGTATCTTACTCCACATTTCGCTCTCAAATCTGTATTTGTCCATTTCTCATGTGTGTAGAAAGTCACGGTTTGTGCTTTGACTCTTGCCTTGTTATTTCGCGGTAGCCACGAGGGCGCTTCCATGTATACAAACAACCTTCCATTTGTCCCTATATATAAAACACAATATTGAATACGACATTGTAAACATTTTGGGAACTAGATTCTCCTAAGACTGATGTGTGGATGATGATCAGACATGTTTATTCTACTATTATAATACAATTTATTTTATTTTCAGATATGCTAATCAAGTCCTGCCGCCAGTATACTCTTCTCCACAATTTTGCATATGTTTGTTGCAATCCCTGAGCCAAAAATATATAATTTATCAAGAAGATACACACAAATGGAGAATAAGAAAAGGTTGAGAGAGAATGGTCAAGCCATCACCGTTGAAAGAAAGCCTATCCACCCTAACAAACATGCAATTCCTTGCACTTAATCCCAACCATTATTCCTTGCCCTCTTGTACTCTTTTATGTATATATATACTTCTCTATATACTAGATCCTCATATACTATTACATCATGTGTGTGTATTTCCATAGCATAAGCCTAATCCCTATGTTATCCTAGGGAAGAAGAGGCAGTAGAACCCATGCATGTTCATGAGAGAGATGACCAAGGTTTTCAATTTCTGTATTATAATTTTCTGAACGGCCCCAAAATTATCAAAATTTGACCGGAATTGTGCCATTTTTTTTTTGAGAATTTTAAACATGAAGTATGATTTTCTAAATTATTTAGTTCTAAACTAAATATTACCATGATTTATGACTACAAATCTATTGAGTAGAAGAATATGCAATATAAACACAATAGAAAATATGAGTCTAGCGTTAGGCTCCCTCTGTCCCAAAAAAACTTGTTCTGTGATTCGAAATCTCCTGTAACAAGATATGAGTCATTTCTCTCCTCCACTAATCTGACTAAGATATCCTAGAACACCAATTTTTCTGGGCTGAGAGAGTACATTAACAATAAAGCACATGTATTAGCGTCATTAAAAAAATTCGGATTTTTCTTTCGGCCATCCCCAGGATTACTGAATTTCGCTAAAATCTCGAACCCTGCAGATGACCACTAGCCTTCCATGCAACAAGTCCTAGAGACGACTATATAGAGGAGAGCTAATTGACTCCTAACCCGTAACCGCTCGAGCATAAACACCACCATTTGGTCACACGTTTGTCGTGCAGAGAGAAGAGAGAAGAGAAGGAAGGCATCCATTCGACGCTTGCTTTGCTTGACCACCACCACCACCACCATCACTAGTAGCTCTAAATGCCAAGGCTCTGCTGCTGATAACCTCCTCTCTGAGCGCCAACCACCGTCTTTTCCTCTCCTCCATCTTCGTCTTCTCAGTCTCACACCAAGAAACACACAGACAACAATCCATCCATATATACAAACAGGACGGCAGGTCGGTGGATTACTGCGTCACAGTCTTTGCGTGCCAACGAGGCGGAGCAACGATGGGGCAGCAGGAGGAATTAGCGGCCGTGCTGAAGCCGCCGGCCGCCGTGGTCTTCTCGTGGGAGCCAGTCGCAGTCACCACCAAGCCGGCCGCCGCGGAAGCCCGCGGGGACACCATCGTCATGCCGCCCGGGAGCCAGACGAAGAAGGCGGCAGCGGCACCGCCGGCGCGCCTGCTCTCGGTGCCGCCGCCGCCAGGCCGGGCCGCGACGAGAAGACTGTCGTCGAGGGCCGGCGGCCGCGCCGTGCGGCCGGAGGACGACCCGTTCCTGGCCGCGTACCTGGCGTGCACCAAGAGCAGCAGAGGCGGCAGCAGGGACGCCGGTGCCGGTGCCGGTGGCACGCCGGGGGAGGGCAAGCAGGGCCGGAGCCGGTTCACGTGGGCGCGCCTCGGGCTCTCCTGCAAGAGCTCCGCCGGCGTCGTCGAGCGGAGCATGGTGAAGGTGGCCAAACGGCCGGAGCTGGATCCTAGAGATGCCTGATCCACCGCCCACCGGCCGCGGCCAGTTCGTCTTCTTCTCTGCTTCTTCTTCTAGTCAGTCTCATGTTCAGTTCTAGCTCTCTTTTTTTTCTTTCAGTGTCAAGCTTGAATTAGCGAGGTTTATGAGTGCGTGGTGATGGAATTAAGAATCACTTGTGAATGAATGGAAAAGATACATATTTGCAATCTCATCTTCCTTTTAATTTGATTAGGCAGCGGCAGGATTATGTGAGTCGCATCAATGTCTGTTATGTGGAAAAAAAATCTCCTTTTTTTTGGTAATAATAGATAGATGGGTTACCTTCTGACGGCGAACGCATCCGTGTGTCCTCTGACTGAATGCCAACTTGATAAAGACGGGCAATGACCGAGACTTTAGGTCCAGTTGGCTTCGCTCATAAGTCGTACTTTTTCAGCCAATGAATAGGATTTTTCTCTCACACCAAATCAACCAATAGTACTTTCAGTCATGCCTTATCAGCAAGCCAACAGGGCATTAACCGTTGATCAATGTGTTGTTCTGTTCTGATCATTTTCCCGAATACATGCATATTCGTCCTCCAAATTATTTCTTTATCCGACAACCCTGCAATGCTTTGGAAACCACTCCAACAGTTTTATCAGTCCAATGGCATGAAGAGAGTTGAGTGAGAGAATGACAGATAAGGCAGGCACAGTTTTTTGGATTGCAAGCCACTCCAACTGAACCGATGCCCCGTACTCCAAACGAACTGCACACGTCAGTCAGTGAGAAGAGTGTGAGGGATTTGAGAAATCTGATGAGAAGTCATGGTTTAAGGTAGTAGAGAGATTTGAGATTCAGTTTCCTTGACAAAATTGAGGTTTCAGGTTTAGGATTAGTTGTACCAGTTTTGGAAACCTTGTTGAATTGGGAAGAAGAGGACATCGCTAGAGTAGGTCGATCGGTTAAATCTGGCATCCTACTACAGTCGTGGACAACGACTGCGCACTTGCCATGCCGCGCCACGTTCCTTGTGATCCATTTCCATGGGCCCTGCTTTGCTCCATATTCCGTGGAAGAGTGGCCCAATACCTGATGGTACTGAGAGTGGCCCAATACTTGATTGCTATGGAGAGCGGCCCATGGTTCATGGATTGCTTCATTATTGTTACCATAAGTTTCAGCTCAAGCTTGAGTCACTGCGTCTCTGGGATGCAGCTACCATTCACCACTGTCAGACAGTCATCTCCACGGGCTCATTTCCTTAAATGTTAATATGTCAGCATATCGCCTTTATCTGAACCCAACTGCTTCTTCCATGGCATGCTCTGACTGGCACAACACTGGCTTTTGTTCATCTGCTCCAGCTGCTGCTTCGAATGGATCCAGTGGAGTGGATCACTTCCTCTCCATTTTCAAGCATGCAGAGATCAGAGATACGGAGTACAGTAGGATGGTAAACAAAAACAAAATGACAGTCGTGAACTGACGTGCTGATGCAGATACTGCAAAGATCACCAGTTCGTGATGCGCTGCTAGTTGTGCTGCGGCGATCAAGTCAACTGTTGATTATGCCATAGCCTGGTGCCAGGGTAAAAAAAGAGAGCCTGTCAGTGCATTATCAGACAGTTTCATCGTTTTCAAGTCTGGCAGCGCATCACCAGACAATACTCTAGTAGAAGTACTAGTCCTTTCCTCTCCTGAGATTCCATACAAAGCATGAAGAGGAGGAAAGTTGAGACTCTGAACTGAGGAGGGAGCAGCAGGGCTGCCAAAGCATAATAGTATGGTGAATTGGTGATAGCTTGATAGGATCATCCAGATGTAATGCCCAAAACATAACTCGACCTGTGATCTGCCTTTTGCTGCTACCAGTCGGTGGAGTACATTCACCATTTGTTTAACATAGTAGAGTCATTCACCATACCAAAGTTCAGAGTTCAGACTGAACTCAAGTAACAGCAGCAGCAAAGTGTGGAAAAACTCCAAGGATTCAGGACTAGAGCATGCATTCTAGTAATGCTACAACTCACTATTCTTTTTTTTTTTTCTTTTTTTGGAAAAGAAACACTACAGGACAGAAAGAAAAAAGAGTTCCGTTCTTTCACTTTCTGTACCACCACTTGCTATACTACTTTAGCACAATAAATATACAGGTGGAGCAAAAGTGGCAGTCCAAACTTCCAATGATTTCGCTTGACCAATTTTCACTCCATGTCCCAAAGGCAGGTGGGCCCCCAACTGTCAGTGCACGATGACTAGTTGCAAATTTCTTTTTTTTTCGTTTTTTTTTAAAGAAAACACTAACCGCAAACTCTGAAAGATAGCAACCATATGAACTGTCAGTGTTGTGGCGAGCAGAGCATGTCACGGACGGCCTCCCACCTGACCTCCTCGAAGATCATAGCCTCGATGCTCTGCGCCACCTGCCGGGCCTCCTCTTCCCCGCCGACGACGACGAGGCGGCGCCAGTCGTCCAGCGGCGACGCGGACAAGTCGAGCTCCACCAGGCTCGGGATGCGGGAGATGTCCGCTGCCACGCTCTCCCACTCGCAGTCCCAGGCAGACGCGACGCTCTTCCTCTGAAACCTCTCCACCTCCATTGCGGGAGTCTTGCCAGGGAGGTCGAGGTCGTGGATGGATGGCGGCGACGGCGAGGTCCCTGTCCCTGAGGTCGACGGCTTGCGATTGCCATCGACGTCGCTGTGCTCATCCCCTGCATTGTCATCGAGGAAGAAACAGAGTGAGTGTCTGGCTGTAACGCAGGAGGAGCAGACCGGAGATGGCGGCAAGAAAATGCAGCATTGCATGCAGAGACGAATCAGGACTTAGGAGTGCTTACGGTGGCTGGGCACGGGCGATGAATCGTCGTCGGAGTGCAGGTCCAGGACGGACACGGGGCTGAGCTGCCTCCCGCAGTCTCCGGCGCCGTCGTGGCAGTCGGCGGGAGCGACGACATCTCCGACTCTGTCGGCGCGCGGCAGGCGGCGGAACCTCTGGCGCGTGGCAGCGCACGGGAAGCAGCCGGCGAGGAGGTCGTCCGCCCAGCGCAGAGCCAGCTTGGTGACGGTGGCCGTGCTCCCGCTCAGCAGGCTCCTCCTCTCGGCGGCGGGCGGGCGGGCCGGCGTGGCGCTGTCGTCGTGGTCTTGGAGGAGGAGGTGGTGGAGGAGGAAGGGCTCCTGCTGCTCCTGGAGCAGGTCCGAGAGACGCCTGGCAGTGCCGCAGCAGGTGGCCATTGGGATGGTTGGATTGGAGGCAATGGGATTGCGAGCGAGTGCAATTGCGTGGCAGGTGGCAGCTACCAGCTAGTGAACGAGGGCAGGCATCCCTCCCATTCTCGTCTCTAGTGGCCAGTCGCCATGAAACAAAATAAGTGCATGGGCTTGGCACGCTGTGGATGGCGATCTCTCGAGTGTCGCCACGACAGCGGCTGATCAGCTGATGCTTATAAAAAGGTAGACATGTCTTCTCCTTCTAGTCTACATACAGACAACAACACATAAAGGCAAAGCAAAAGGGAGGGCCTTCCACCAGGTCCCAGATGAGCTGATGGACCATGAGAAGAACTTCTACGGGTGCCACCATATCCATCCTCGCAACATCTCTCTCTCTCTCTCTCTCTCTGTCTCTGTGGGTGTGAAGACTGAAGAGTGGAAAAATGAGAATAAGCAACAGTGCCCAGTCTCTAATTGAATTGAACAGTCAGTGTTCAGGCGACACAAGGACGACAATATACAATGTCAGTGGCAAATTGGCGGCTCCATCCATGGCGGTCAGGTGCATGATACCAAACTCTAGTCACCTAGACTTTGGGCCTATGTATCCATCCAAATAGGTGGACCAAAAGTGCACTAGCTTTTAGTTTTCAACCCAACTGGTCATTAATTATTTAGACTAAAATGTATACATACGTCTTTGTCCATTGCTTAGTTTTAGTCCATGTATTCAAACGGCAACGGGCTAAAGTTTAGCTACTTCAACTTTTGTCTAACAAAATATTCCATCTAAGGCCCTGTTTAGATGCACTAGTACGTCCACCTCAATCCATGTACGTTCGAAGTTGGTTGGAGCGAAACCTAGTTTAATTTCTACACCCATTTACACATAGATTGAAATAGGTACATGTACATTTAAACACCCATTTACTTAAGTTTCATGTTATCCAAGCACAGCAATAATCCAGTATCCACTGGCTGGACTGGCCTGACCACCTCGTCCTCTGTCTGATGAATTGTCTCTGTAGCTGTACTGCCCATCAAGCTGTGCAGCTGCAACAGCAAGGTGCAAGGAAGCAAAAGGCAGCCTGCAACTCCCAGAGACAGATGGGCTCCGTCCACTCCCCCCTTTCGTTGTTGTTGCAGAAAGAAATGCAGAGCAGAGAGCAGGCGCGGTCCCGGGCATGCAGCTTTTCCTTTGCTTTGCTTTCCCAGCTCAGATCTGATCGCAGACAAGACGACACGACACCGTCAGGCACTCAGGCAGACAGGCCGGCCATTGGCCAATTGCCACGCCCATGCATGCTTGATGCAGTAGTTCGTTCGTTGCAGGCTAGCGGCTAATACCATCGTCGGTGATCAGTGAAGTCGGCGAGGAAGAGGAGACGAGACGAACAAAAACAACACTGCCCTGCACAGCTAGCAATGCAGCATCTTTTGCTTCTCTCTCCTTTCCTCTCCCCTGCTCCTCTCGCGTCGGCGTCGCGTGATGTCTACTCTGCTCTCTCTCCATCTCCACCGAAAGGATTAATGAAGACATTAAATATAAATAAAAAAATAAAACAGCTGATCCATTCATAACATACGCCATTCTTGACTATGATTGATACTATTTGCCATGCCAACGAAAACGCTCTCTTTCATTTCCTAAATTTCATCTAAACAAGCCCTAAGAATACTAGCAAGCAATCAGTGCAATTCAATTTTCTTGCATATGAATACGATGCCCTAAAAAATCCAACTTTACCACAATGCTCTTTTTTTCATATGAATCCCCCGCTTCTCCTCTTTTTTGCTCCCTTTTCAGGGGCGGTGCAAACCCAACCCAGAGTGCTGCTGTCTGGTAATCCAGTCGTGATTTACTGGTGTAATTTTGGGGGGCACCGATGATTAAGGGAACGTTAAACAGCTAGAGCATAGTAACTGGATCATCATAATTGCACTTTTGTGATGTTGTTTGGTGTGGCCATGGGCCTTTGAGGCCTGTGAGTGCTCCTGACGAAGGCACGAGCTGGGCCTGGAAAAAATGATGCATCCCTAGGCTTCGCTATCTAATATGGGCTTGAGGCCCAGTACTTTTAAAGCCCTCCTGACCTCCTCTTCCCTTGCTAATTCCTAAGAACTAGTATTCATCAGGAATTACTAAGTAGCCCTTAACCATTTTCACCAGACCAGGCGGACCCACGATGCTCTATAGGCCTGCACAAGTGATGTTTCCTGCTTTTGTTGGCCTTGCCATGCATGATGCCTGCCTGAGAGACCAGAGCTGATACGCAGGGGCGAAGCCAGGAGAAATGGCTGCCGGGGTCGGTACTCACAGTACCAGTACCAGGAGCGAAGCTACATTGAGCTTGCCTGATGCCAATGCACCACGGTAAGGGGAAAAAATTTCACTAACTAGACAAACTTTCACCATGTATTTCTACCAAATTATGTAGGAGTACATCCTCTTAGTAGTGTACCACCATAAATTTATAGCGGGCTTCGCCTAGCAGTATTAATTGCTGATTTATAGACCCCGATAATATACAACCATGCATAACTTGACATTGATAAAATAACAACCGCATATTATGACAAAATAAGGTTTCGCAACAGTAGTTACCTCTTACATTTTCTCTCTACGACTATGATCCTCCATCTTATGAAAGCGAATTATCACATGTTTCATTGGAATTGTGGTTAAAAAACTAAAGCAGATAGCAACTATGCGTATAATGTAAAAGTTGATAGAATTTACTGGAACCTCTAGGTGCAGATCAGTGGGTAAATTGCTTAACTTAGATAGGCTTGGTGATATACCTCGCCAATTGCTTAACTCAGGTGGTCGCGACGTGTCGGAGTAGGAGAAGTCGTGCAGTCGCCCGCTAGGTCGTCGACTGTAGCGGCAGCGTAGGCGTAGACCAGTGGCGACGGTGAAGACGGTGTGGGCTTCCCGTCGCTTACAGCGCGTCCTTCTAGATCGGACTAGAGCTAGGAACTTCGGTGAGACGCTGGCGGCTGTTGTGAACCTCTTGTCTTGTACCCCAGCCTCCACCGTCCTTTTATGGCGCTGCGCGACGATGGCTCATCAGCCAGGAGAACCTGCTGAGCACCCCTGATCAGGGCGCGAATCAAGGGCCTAATTGGCTGTTGGGCCAACTGGTGGAGATCATCCTAACAGAAGTCACTACTAGATCGATACCTGGCTTCTTGCTGGATGGAATGAAAGAGAATGTTCTTCACTTCATTGCTCGAACGCAAGTTACATACTTCTTTATGAGAATCTAATCTCAGATTGTATAGCTGGAAAAAATAAAAACCCTGAGACCTCAATGTTGAGACGATCGTTAATTTAATTACAAATTGCATAATTGGGTATTTGCTGTGTGGGGTACCTGTACGGCTGTACCTCATCTAGATTGAGAGTAGACAGCAGGAGAACACAAGATCGTCAGATTGAGAACGAACTGAGCCATGAGGAGCGGCTGCTGAGCGTCGGTCGCCGGGCAGGGGCGACGCCCGCCAGGAAGATTTTGGGATGCGTCGGGTACGAAGCTAAGCGACGTTCGGCCTTCTGGGCTATCAAGCACTCTCCGTATCTGCAGCATGTTAGCATTCACCGACTCACATATGTGGAGTTGTGGGCGTATGTGATTGATGGATCGGATGGGCTGAGCAGAAGCAGATCGATGGGCTTTGGACTGTTGCTGTTGGGCTGCCACCTGCCGGGCCATTGGGGTCTCATGTAAATTTTGCTGGGGTCCAAGCCGGTCAAAATTACTCTGTATAAGGTGAAACGGCAAAGTCGTCGGTGTTGCCAGACCCGACGCGTGAATGTAGCTTCGCCACTGGCTGATAGATGTGAGAGGACATGAGTGACGGGACGTGCTAAATTGGTGCTTGCTTGCAAACCATTTGCTCCAGCTTAAGGCCCCGTTTGGCTGGGCTCTCGCGTGCTCCGGCTCCTGCACTGTAGCGACACTGTAGCCGGAGCCGAAGGAGCCCAAAAAACGAGCTTCTCCCCTGTGAGAGAGGAAACGAAGAGAGAGAAAACGGCTCTGATGAACAGTATCCGCACATGACGTGAACAGTGCGTGTATAAGGTGAAACGGCAAAGTCGTCGGTGTCGCCAGACCCCGACGCATGAACGTAGCTTCGCCACTGGCTGATAGATGTGAGAGGACATAAGTGACGGGACGTGCTGAATTGGTGCTTGCTTGCAAACCATTTGCTCCAGCTTAAACATTTTTTTTGGCTGCCCTTATTCACGGGAGCTCAGCGATTCAAGTTTTCTTGTTTTTTTTTTTTTCAAGGACAACTAACTTGTCACCATACAAAATTCTAGAGAAATTCAGCAGGGCTTAATAATTTCAAACCTCCCTGTTAAACTTTACGTATACACAGGAGATTAGTTTCAACTTTTACAAAGATGTGTGATAATGCAACAAGAACAACCAGCCATATTGCATTGGTATACAAGATTAGTACTAGTACGTAGTGTTAGCTCCACTTAGCAGGTAGTTGCTCTGCTTCATACGACACCCTCTGCGTCATCAGAGTGTGTACATATGCATCTGATGGAGACTAAATGATAACAATAATGGAGCGGCAACTTTGCTTGAGATGAAGACAGGCGGTAGATTACAAGAAGGAAGCAACAAAGAATGCATGAATGGCATCTGAATGAAGATGCACCTCAAACTACTTTTACTAGTTCTCACTGCTTTTATATATATAATATATAAATATTCCAGTTAGATGAGGTCTCAATATCTAGGCCTTGTTTAGTTCCTCATCCTAGTCCTTGTCACCTTGTATGTTTGACACATACATAGAGTGTTAAATATAAACTAAAAACATAACTAATTGCACATATTGCAACTACTTTGCGAGACAAATTTTTTAAGCCTAATTAGTCCATGATTTGACAATGTGGTGCTATGGTAAACATATGCTAATGATGAATTAATTAGGCTTAATAAATTCGTCTCGCGGATTACTAAGGACTTATGTAATATGTTTTATTATTACTATCCAAACACTTTCATCTAACATCCGATGATTACCTCTAAACTTTAGCCCCTACAATTAAACACCACCCTACCCTTAGTCATCGATCGATGAGTTTGTGCAGACGACGACGTATAGTATAGTCTCACAATGCGACATGGTGACATATACACAAAGGTAGATGTATGGACACTTGGCAAACACTCCCATCCCAAATCCCAATAGATTGAACATTGCATGCTGTTGCGTGTGGGCCACCCGTGTCAGACTCGCTACTACGTACTGCATGTCGTTCTCACACGGCGGTACGGTTTAAGGAATCGCAGCTAGATACGCATATCGGTGGAGTGGAGGTCCTGGAGGACCGACCAATACCGTACCTCTTTTTATTTTTATTTTTTGCAAAGATAAAAAATAATTAGAAAAGCTTGGAAAAGGTGGGTGGTGTCGTCGTCGAGAACACAGTACCGGTACGCCATTAGCGAAGGCGAACCACAATTAGCTACTAGCTTATTAGGAGACGTAAACCACAACGCTGCGTGTGATGCTTTGCTTTGAACGTGGCGACGGCGACGAGCCACCTGCAGCCACCGTAGCCAGCCATAGCAGCTTCTTCGATTCACTGACAGTGATACGTCACAGATTATAATAAACACCATGTTCTACTCATCTATTTTTTAGCCGGCTTATGCTTATTTTGGTTTATTCTCCGTCACAGAAACATTATTAAATCAGCCAAAATAACACTAGCAGGACAGGGTGAAAAACATAAAGCCACCGCAAACGTCTCGCTGGTGCCTGTGTCCTTCCTCGTTCGATCAACCTAGCTTGAAAACGTCACGATGTGTATATACTGATATCGAATGCTAAGGAATTTTGTTTTGAAGGGGCGCGTTTAGTTCCAAAAAATTTTGGTTTTTTTTATCACATCGATTTTTTGGACGCATGCATGAAGCATTAAATATAAATAAAAAAAAACTAATTACATAGTTGGATAAGAAATCACGAGACAAAACTTTTAAACCTAATTAGTCCATAATTAAACACTAATTATTAAATACAAACGAAAGTACTACAGTAGCCGAGCAACAAAAAATTTCGCGAACTAAACGTGGCCAAGAAACTTCGCGGGACATGCATATCTCGCTTTCGCGTCACATCTCGATCAGGAGCGTGAGAAGAGAAGACGACGACGAGGGCGGGAAGATGCCTGCTGGAAGGGACGACAAGCGTATACTCCTATGCAACCGTCAGATCAGTGGTGCCCGAAATTCTCCTCTGAGTGTGACAAGTACCAAACTACCCCCGGTCTTGCCCGGCCGGCCCACAGAACAGATGGAGGGAGAGTTTGGCCATTCCAAGCAGACCAGTAGTCTAGCTAGTACTAGTAATAACCACAGATTTACGTACGTGGTTTCTTACTTTGACAGAGGTAACCCGGAAATTAATTTACCGAGATCGATCAAGAGGAATCGGGACACGGCGCGGTGCACGCGGGACAAGTAAGTAAATTTCTTTCGCCGGAGAAAACAGGTCATGCATGTTTGCGCGCAGATTTGTTTGTAAGCAATAAGCATGCATGGATGCGTTCTTGTTAGAACCGGCCGGATCGGACGAACGTCGTTCAAATTCAACTCCTTGTGCATATATATAAAATCATGCATGGTGCAATTCATCATTTTTGCATCAAGAATTGCTTTGCTTATGCTAGTGGTCTATATCTACAAGAATATATATCCTGCTGGCTCTTCAAATCGTCATCCATGGTTACGTTTAAGAGCCCTTTCATTCTCTTTGTTTCATCAGTTCGTTCGTTCGAGGTGACCCAGTCAAAAAGACGATCCGCACGTGCATGCTTCCTCTTCCTCAGACGTTCGATGCCCGGCCGGCTACGCGATCAGCGAGGCGAGCGCCTGCAGCTCGAAGAAGCCGCCGGTACCGCTGCCGGCGCCGGGGCCGCCGGCACTACCAGACGCGGACGCGGACGCGGACGCGGCATAGATCTGGCGCAGCGCGAGGGCGCGCCTGGCGGCGGCGAGGCGGCGGGCGAGGGCGCCGGCCTCGGCGCGCAGGCGGGCGTTGGTGAGGCGGACCAGCGCGGCGCGGGCCTGCACGCCGCGGAGCCGCGCGGCGAGGTCGCGGTTGCCGGCGCGGAGGCGGGCGGCGCGGCCCCGGAGCTCCTCCAGCTGCCGCTGCTTGCGGGCGCGGGACCGCCGCGCCGACTCGCGGTTCGAGATCCGGCGCCGGAGCCGACGCTCCGCCAGCTCGGCGTCGTCGGCGACTCCTGCGGACAGCGATGGCGCCGACGCCGACGTGTCCTCCTCCGGCGGCGTGGCTGCGGCGGCGGCTGAGGTAGTCGTAGCAGTGGCCGTCGTCGTCACGTCCAGGGGCAGCGGCGGCGTCGGAGTCGTGGGCGACGTGGGTGTGGGGTCAGGTCCGAGGAAGCCGAAGCCGATGTCGGAGAGGAACGCCTCGACCTCGAGGTCCAGGGCGGGGTCCCACTCCGACAGCATGGGGAGCTGCTGGTGGGCCATGGCTGCAGAGACACGTACAGGACTAGAGTGGCAGTAGTGCACTAGTGCTCCTAGTCCTAGCAGGGGCAGAATGGTAATTAGCAGCGTATCAGAGGGGCGACTGGTGAGAGAGGGAAAAGGGAGGGAACAAGTGAACGAAGGCCCGTATTTATAGCCGCGCCGGTGAGACCGGGGGGTCGTCTGTGCTGCCTCTGCGTGGGCCCCGCTCCCTCCCTAGTGCTTACTGACGTGGCACCTTTCTTGCTTCTCCTTTTTTTTTAAAAAAAATCATTTTTGACTGAAAAAAGGCTTTATTTGTGTCAACAGGTGGGTTGTCGCGTGGCACCAACTTCGCTTTTTCCACATAGGTTATCCCCAAATTAAAGTATTCATTCGCTTTGAATCCAACAAAATCTAGCAGTAGAAGCTTAATTAGCTGATGAGGAGTTATACATCTGAAATAAATAAACAAACCTTGCATTTGGGAAAAGAAGGTTAAAGTTAGTAGTAGGTAGAACAAAGCAAGTAAAGCACACAGCTTTGGAAACATGTTGTGTCTAGTAGTCTAGGGTCGGGAGAGCAGCAAATGCAAGGTGTGGTGATGATTGGGAGGGACGTGCATGCCATTTGCCTTGCCACGGGTGGATATGGTTGGTTGCATGCATGTATCCCCAATGCAAGGCACAGCAGCAAACTAACAGGAACTACTAGTAGCTACCTCACCCCAATCAAGCGATGGATCGAGAAGCTAGCTAGCCTCTCTCTAAACCTTAGTCACTAAGGAAGATGAACGAGAGCTAGCTAACTGGATTAATTATACGCGTATCCTTCTTCTTATTAACTACTAGTAATCTTGTCCACCGGAATTTTGATCACATCAACCCATTTCCAAGATCTGATTCTCTTTCTGCGAGAGAAAGTAAAGACGAAACCCATTGGACTCGAAGAAATATAGCAAAAGGTAGAACTTTCTAAACTGCAGGATTTCTTAATGATAAACTGTATGAAAAAATATGCAATTTTTGCAATAGCTTCAACAGTTCCTTCTTCTAGGTTGTTTTCAAAATAAACTCTTTGGGATCAATTTTAAAATATGCAATTCTATGTAGTACTTAATCCATTCTAAATTATAAGACGTTTTGCCTTTTTAGATTCCTGACTTTTGCTACGCACTTAGCTATACACTATGTCTCGATGCATAGTAAAAACAATGTATCTAGAAAAGCCAAAACATCTTATAATTTGGAATTGAGGGAATAGAAATGAAATAATCCGGACACCGATCGAACGAAAGTTTTCTATCCAGTAGGGCATATATGCAACTAAAGGTGCCACCGGTTAGTTTCATATTGTTTGCTCTATGAGTACGTTCGATCTATCGATCATCTTTAATTTTTCTGTACGTAGGCAGACAAAAGCACAGTTTTATGGAACAGTATGTATAGCCTTGCAATTGCAAGCCATGCATAACACTCAGTAAAAAGCTAATAAAGCCACATTGACCCCAGCATGTTGCATACACATACATATGCTCGACCACCACCACTACTTTGCATGATGCATTGTGTGGACAGGCAGACAACAGCAAGTGATTATATCAGTGAGTGATGGAGGAGGACATGGATCGACCTAGCTGCAGCCAAGGTTTTCATTATAGGAAATAAAAATTTATCGGAGGTCAGGGATAAATAGGATAAGCAAGATATATCGGAAATATCGGACCAAATTCAAAAAAAAATCAAATTGTTTTGAAAAAATTCCGTAGAATTTGACTTGAAACTATTCCTAAGCTATTAAACATCACTTGTTCACAGATAAAAACAAGAATAAAACATTATAGTGTGGGATTGTCGCACGGCTGAATTTGGGTTGTCTGTGTGGAAGCAGGAAAGAAGGGAAAATTTTGGCCGATGTCAAATTTTATTGAACCCTGTGGATAGAAAGGAAATTTCGAAAATTTCCGTGAATTTCGGCCGATAAAAAAAAACCTTGGCTGCAGCAATGACCTGCTTACCTTTCTAGATATTTCAGCCAAAGCAAAGCAAGTGCAGCCTAGCGTGTATCGTCGACCGGTACTTTTACTCTCAGCCTGCTTTTCATCAGGTATTAACATAACTATATTATTAGGCCACTGAAAGCTACAGGTAGGTAGCAGGTTACATGTTATTCAAAGACGCAGGGCGGGTGGGCGACCGGGCAGCAGTATATATTCTGCCTCGTCATGCTGCACACAGTAGAAATATCTTCTCAGGAACACGCTCAGCCACTAGAAGATCGAAGAGCATATATATGTCACTATCTCCATAAGTCCATAATGTAATCTAAAGTCGAATGAAATGGAATATGCCGGCCGTGTTGCTTAGCTACCATCGCAAGTAAGTAATCTAGCTTTAATTTCCATTAGTTCGTAGACAGCAGAGAAAAATGGTATATAAGCCAGCAGAGATAACATAACAATGAAGAACAAAAGCTTCTGGTTGGTTGTGGACCTGTGGCTGCATTGCATTTGCATGCACGCATATGATGCAGCAGAACAAAGCCTTCAGGGAGAAGGAAACGGCCTTGCCTGCACTGCATTTGGAATTTGGAAACAATCAGTCCTTAAATCTAGTCTAGTCTGCTGTCTACCAATGCAAATGCATGCATGCAAGCAGTCCCGCCAAAAGCTAGCAACAACTGACTGACGAATCTCTGTTCACCACACATGCACTACTAGGAGTTAGTACTAGCTAGATCTGCTGTCTGCTGGGCACGCATGCAATAAAGCAGCTGCTGTGTCCGCCCTACTTTACTTCTGCTTCAGCTCTCTTGAGCTTCAGCAAGTGTGGAGCACGATACGAGCGAAACGAACAGGGTCGTCGTCGACCAAACTGAACGAACACTCATCAGACATTATTAAAGGGCATCTGCAGGGTGATTAGTGATAGGCAATGCAAATAATCTGTTATGTTAGTTAATTAGTTATTAGGCGTGGGGCTACCTGCCGCTGCCGGACAGGTGTCACAAGCATGTGTAGCTACCACTACTACCTGCTAGCTGCAAAGCCTGCGAGCTCGTGTCTGTATCTGAAATTCGGAATGATGCAGTGCATCAGATCATGCACTGCAGAGTGGAGACTGATGGATTATGGATCATGGGGTGCACTGCACGGCCGGAGATGAGGGATGGGATCTAGCGAGGTCTGGGGGTGGAGGCCACATGGTGTGCCTGAGGATTTTGGGGATAAAGCAGCCTTTTCAGCTGCTGGGAATCTAGGCGATCGAGGAGATCTAAAATCCCAGATCCTTGTTTCTGTTAGACAGGGAGGATGAACTGATCGATCGAGAGGCGAGACTGGGCCAGGTGCCCACACAGCAGCAAGCAGCTCCTGCACTTGCTGCTTGCTTGCTTGCATGCATGCAGGTGCAGCTTTAATCTCGTTAATGTACTATTGGGGATTAGATTCAGACTGAATAATTCAGTATATATTGTCGTCGTGCATGCCATCTTTTATTTCTCTCCTTGCATTGTAATTTTAAAGGACATGGATGGATGAACTAACCCTATATTTTGACTGCAGCTATACTTCTTGGAGACTTGGACAGGTTGCGGGTAATCTCTTGTAATTTGCCAATTCTTTCTGGATGATTAAAGTGTGCAGATCAGAGAATTGCAGAAAGATGCACGGGTAGGGTAACGAACAAGCAAGCAGCTTTACTTTGTTGGATTGGACCGTGTGTGGGGTGTTGAAATCGGGATCATGTAGCCGGGTTCCCATTGGTTCTTCACAAAGCTAGCTAGGCTAACCAGATTAGATGAGATGAAATGAAATGGTGAAGGGAACAAGGATCAAACTTCCGGCCGGGAAACAGTGGAAAAGCACATGGAGGGAGCTGGCTGCTAGTCCTTGTTGAACTAGAAATGGGCAAGTCATGGGCTAAAGGATATATTCCAGCAGAGCTCAGAACAAAGCCCGGCCCTTAAATTCAGACTTGCAGAAAATGATGACTTTTGAGACAACTTATTAGGTGAAAGTTTTCTACCGTTTTGATCACATATTAACTGTTATTGTTTCTTTTTCCTTCGTATCTCTATCATAGTTTTCTTTTACGAAACACATTACAGTCGCAGGCACTCGCAATCGCGTACATATATATGCACACATGTAAATGTATGCTGAAGCGCGCAACCCCTGCTATGAGACTGAATTAAGAGTCCATCAGATCGACGAGGTCACCGCTAATGCCTGTTATCAAGATGAATTCCTGTTCGCTTGAACTTATCAGCTCGGTTTATCAGTCATGGTACAGTGGTTTTCTCTCACAACAAAACAGCTTCAGCCGGCTTATCCATCAGCCGAACCGCTCTGTCACAATTCTCTTTTGTCTTGGCTTTTGATCCCTTACATATGAAAAAAAACGAAAAGAAATGGATGGTGCAGATAGGAAGAGAATAAGCAATGGACCGTCAGCGAAATTACTAAAAGGTAGCCTTCTGTGTATATACAACGCAAGCATAGACCATGCATTGTTATTAATAACAGCAGAGAATCAATTGTTTTCTAGAGTTCAATCCAAGATCGAGCAGAATCGATTGTTTCTAGAAGCAACAGGAGGACAAAACTTTGTTATCGTAGTAGCATCAAAAGCTTCGTTCTTCCATTCTTAAAAAAATGCAAGGATTATATTATTGGAGGTACAGTTGAGGAAAAACTAAAGTGACGCCCAATGCATTTGCTTACTGAGGAATGCGTAGTGCCGAAGGAATTGCACTTGCACCATATCAAGAAAGCTATAGTATACATCATCATGTCTGCTATAATGCTCTGGGAATCGAACCATTCATCATATATACGCAGAAAGTTAAAAGAGAGAGGATGAGATATGGAATAAATTAAAGTGTATCAAACATTAGAATGTCACCGTGGCGAATATTTCCGATGCCCGGCCGGCCGGATTTATATCTAGAAGTATAATCTATACCTCAGTGTCAATGAGCATATATATATACACACACTTGGAAAAGGTTATTGTGTGGAGGTAGCACTATATACACCTGAAAAAAAAATCTTGTAAGTAATCTCTTTACTAGAAGTACATATTTAATTTGGATGGATGGATCTTGTACCTAAACATAAATCTGGCAGGAGGTTTAGTAAAATTTATATATTCTGAACAAGAGTTTCGTGAGAATTATGTTCATTGTACAGAGATGTTTACAATCAATATATTATATATGCATCCTGTATGTCCAGCAGGAATTGAAGTGTGTATGCTTTCATTTGCCATTTTGTAACTTAATTATGTCGTGCAAGCAAGAGTACTTTACTAGCGAGACTGAGCTAGCAATTAAAATGCGACGAGCGACAGATTGATCGGATTCATCTTGGAACCTCCATATATATATAATCATAATATGCATGCATATTATATCAGTACAAGCTCCAGCTGGAATAAATGGAGCCAGTACACACACCACAGTCCACACTTAGTTACTAATTTTACTGTCAACAACTGATGGAGAAATGAATGTAACACACACTAGCTAGCTAGCTACTTTTTTGAGGTCAAGCTAGCTAGCTACTGGCTCGAGTTAATGGCTGATGGCCGGATTGACAGCGAACTTAATTAATAACAACGCACGCACTAATTGATTAATAGCGAGGAGGTTGCATGCATGAATGCATGATTAGTTGACACTAGTGCTGTTGGGCGTGCAGCAGCCGAGCCCACGGCGAGCGCGCGGCTTGCCGCCGGCGGACGCCCTCCTCCTCGCGCCACTACGACGCGCGGCGGCATCAGGGGCGCGGCCTCCGACTCCGATTCCTTAAAGGAGTCGGTGCGGACCTTGACGCAGGAGCAGACGTCCAGGGACACGAAGAAGGCGTTCTGGATGCCCTCGCCGAGGACCTCGGCGGGGCGGCAAAGCGGCCTGCCGCAGCAGCCTGCAGCTGCTGCTGCTGGGGCGCCGTGGGCCACCGTGCGGGCGGTGCCTGATGAGGCCAGGGCCGGCGGCAGACGCCCCCGCTCGCCGCCGCGGCGGAAGGCGAAGGGGACGCACCGCGGCAAGGTAGTGGAGGAAGAGGAGGAGGTGCTGGCTGCGGCGAGGGTTGACGACATGCTCAGGGGTCAGGGCCGGCGTCGCCGCCTCGGGCTGCTTCTTCCTCTCCTAGCTCTTGGTCTCTGGTCTGGTTGCAGCAGCTTGCTGGCTCCTAGCTAGCTAGCTGAAGCTCCGTGAGTGGAGTGATGAGTAGCGAGTGATTCGCCACGACGCCGCGCCGCTGCTTATAAAAAGAAGGAAAAGAAACGAATCCTTTTTCTTTTGGGGCGGCAACTAATAAAGTTAGTTAAAGCCGTTGCGTCTCTATCTTCGTTTAATTTCCTCGGTATCCGGGCCGTAACGGGCCTTACGTTTACCACAGAGCCCTTATAGAGAGGCAAGTGCGAAATGTGCTAAGCTAGGCCTGGCCCGGTGGAGGCCAGAAGCCCAGAACCAAATATTTGTGATATCAACTTCGGAGTTTCTTCAACCTCTCGCTCGCTGTCTCCTAAATGCTTGATGATGAAAAGAAACAAACGAAAAGAAAAAATATGCAGAAAAGATCGTTGCAGCTAGGGACTTGCTAGCGCCCGGTCCGAGGCGCTAGCGTCTGACGCTGCCGCGCACGTAAGAGAGCCCGTGCCTCTTGTTTTCACACACCCCACCACGTGGACCCCACAGTGCTTCCAGCCCCTACCATCGTGCTTGCTTTGTTTCACCCGATGACTGTCGCGCGCCGCACGTGGGAAACCCACGTGGGTCCCAGCCACCTGCCCCCCCCCCTGCGGATGCGCGCCGTGGAGGCGTCTGCTGGCCTCAGGCCCCACACGGTGACCCACGGCGGCGCCCAGCAGCAGCGGCGGGCGTCGGCAGCAGGTGGGTTCCAACTACAACATGTGCAACATCCCGATCTACTTCTACAACCTCCGGATGAAAACATTTACAACATACGTCTGAAAACAATGAAACACTTGCAACGTACGTCTAAAACACTTGAAAGTCATTGCAAAAACAAATATAACATCGAGATCTACTTTTGCAACATCCAAACAAACAATTGCAACATACGTATGAAACATGTGAAACACTCGAAACATACGCTTGCAACATCCAGATTACTTTTGCAACATCCGGATGAAACACTTGAGACATATGTTTCAAATACCATACACTTTTGCAACATGAAACATACGCTTTGCAACATTCGTATATAGCCATTGCAACATACAAAGCATCCAGATGAAACACATGATTAGGGAGATGGAAATTGATGCTAACTGACCCATAGGAGGCACCGGTGGACAACGATGGGGAGGCCACTGCAATAACAGTAGAGAAGCGCTCCTCCGGGCTGGTGTAGGGAAGCGGTGCAGGGACTGCTGCGGCAGGAGGCGCAGGGACGGAAGGGCGGCAAGGACAACCACCGCAGGGAGGGGGCCGATGAGGCGGCGGCTCTAGGATCCGCGCAGCGAGGGAGGAGTTGACGGTGGGAGAAGATGCATGGAAGCGGGTATATTTTGTGAACAATGTTACTACCACTATGCCGGATGAATAAATGACAAAATAAAAATTGTAGATTTCGAAAAGTTAAGAAACTTTGTATTTGACAACTTTTTAATTTGAAATCATGTTGTCAAGGAAAACTACGTTTGAATTTCTCAAATTTGAAATTTGTATTTTTCAAACGACCTCAAATGGAGAAACAACCAAAATAAAAGTTGTAGATCCCAAAAATTTATGAAACTTTGTAGTTGACAACTTTTTGATTTGAAATCATCTTGTCAAGGAAAACTACGTTTGAATTTCTAAAAATTTGAAATTTGATTTTTTTTTAAACGACCTCGGATGGACAAACAGCAAAAATGAAATTTGTAGATCTCAAAAAGTTATGAAACTTTGTAGTTGATAACTTTTTGATTTGAAATCATCTTGTCAAGAAAAACTACGTTTGAATTTTTCAAAATTGAAATTCAAATTTTATAAATGACCTCGCTACCCAAATGAAAGTTGTATATCAGCGATTTGTAGCCACCCCTTCGTAGGGACGGCAAGCAAAACCTCCACTACAAAGGATCACCAGCTGCCCCTAAAGATCATGGCTAGCGTAGTGACACATGCGGCTAGGGTGGCCACGCAGCGCCCTCAAAGCCCCGCCCACTCTCTAGCGATGCCACCCACTCCCTGGTGATTTCCCTGACGAGCGTGTGCTTGGGAGACCGAACGTACCGCCTGCTGCCGCATTCACTGTCCTTGCCATGGTGGAAGGAGACGCCGAGCATGAATATAGCTTGGAAGTGCACAAGCGCAATTGCGAGAAGCTCGGACTCGCGGTCGCGGAGGTCGATGAGGCCGATGTTTTGGGTGGGGGGACATCAGGAGCCACAGCCACGAGGTGGGAAAGAAGACGTGGAGGATGCGCGCATAGCATTGGCGCTCTACAACATCCTAACATGCGTGGTGTGCCGATTCACGTCACACGCACAAGAATCGACCATTCCAATTCGATGACTTGGTTTCATTGATTCCTTTTGTTAACTTCTATGCGTACATGCAACGCGGGGAGAAGCACGGCACGCTCAAGCTGGTCGCCATGCCACGTTGCTCGTAAGGGCCACTGCCTGCAATGCCGAGAGAGGGAAGTCAACTGCACGGATAAGAGGTAATATGGCCTATTCACCCGTCTTTCTCTCTCCCAGAACGCAAAAATAATTTTTTTTAATGGATGGGGGTGTCCGTGGCAAAGAAACATAGTTTCATATGGTTCGGCAAATTTACGGGTTGGTGGTCTATATCAGCAAATACCACCTGAGCAAAAATTACCTTTAACATAGAGGGGTCATTTTCTAGAATGCCACTCTTTTTTGGATGCATGGATAAATAATTGAAATCGAATGGACTAGCTGATTCAGATCTACTTCATTCTTATGGAACTACTAGATCAAGCTTTTATTAAACTAAATATTCTTCTAAACTTCGTGTACAAAATAACTAACTTCCCTAGATTTGATAAAACGTGAAAGCACCCCAGTGGTTGAGTACCTAATCAGTAATCGAGAGGTGACGTGTTCAATCCCATTTTTAGCTTCTTTTCAACGTGAACTTTTTATATTTTTATTTCAATCTCCTCCCGCTGGACTCCGTGAAAAGTGACCGCGCTGGGAAAAAAACATCGCAGGAAAATATAGAGCGCGAAAAAACATCGCGGGAGAATAAAAGGTAGAAATCATCACGGGAGAATAAAAAGTAGCAAAATGAAAAACCCGATGTGAAAAGGATCGCTCCAGAGTAATAAGAAAAATAGAAATAGCCACCACGTTCCATGTTTGGACAATGACCACCAAGATTGTGGTCGTCGGGCAACATCTAAAGGCCCTGGAAAGCCAGCTAGCGGCATCCGACGACCACAAATCGTACGTGGTCGTTAGAGTCTGGTCATTGATGTTCGGTTTTCTTGTAGTGAGCATAGTTAGTAAAGGCCATACATGCATATGCATTTCAATCCGACATTTGATTGTCTGGCTTGTGGGTGAGGCAACATTCAGGTCCAGGTGGCCAAATAGTTCGGTAGAGCATGAGGAATCTTTCATATTCCAGAGTTTAATAAACATTTGTTCATTATAATTAATCTTAGACCATGCATCAAACATTTGGCATGGAATTAGTCTAAGTTTAACTAAATAGCATAGGACTAAGGACAGCTCAGGGCAGTTATTCAGTTACCTTTGATCTGCATGGACAACTTCACTACGACATTTTTCTGAAATCAATACAAATTTACAGATGACCTATGGCACCATATACCGTCATGAGAATGAGAGGAAGGCAAGAAAGTGTTGCAGTTGCAGTATCTATCGCACCTCACAGTAGTCCAGCATTGTACACTATTGATCTTGGCGGTGACAACTGAAGATGTGATTAACAAAAGAAAATATTAACATACTTGAGACACTGAACTAAAACTGCAGATCATGAAACAGCGGTCGTTCATATTTTAGAGCTTAAGCATTTGTTCAGGTACCTTAAATTAACAGAACCTGGTGAAACTTGGAAGGAGAAAAAATGCGAGCACATCAGGCCGGGGGAGGATGTACATTCAACAAAGACGTCTGCATAAAGTTTGTGAGAGTATCCAGCTGTACACCAAGCCTGTCAAGCTGCAAAGCTAAAACTTGTTAAGTTATACATAAGCAACAGAGAGGAATAGGTAGATGGCTGGAAGGCGCCGAATTGGTGCAAAATTAGCAAGCAGAGCCGTTTTGGGCATTTCATCAAACACTTCAAGGGCATAGAACACCAAGAGGAAAGCAAACAGCAGATGGGGTCTTCACGCTGGTCAGATATGAAGGAGAAGACATTGAAGCACACCACAGTGGCATGTATGGCAGGAGATCGAAGCGCATGAGAGAGGAAATGGCAGTTTACCTCGTCGCTTGGGGAGGTGCTCGCTCGCGCGGGCTTCCTTGCGGCGGCCGGGAGACCCGCGGCGCCCGCGCAGGTGCCCTTGTGCCAGGCGCGATGGTGGGGCAGCACCGGGTCAGGCGCGACGGCGTGCGAACCCTAGGGCATGCGGAAGAGGCAGCGCGGACCAGGTCAGGCTGCCCTAGGGTAAGGCGGGGCGGCGGCGTAGGTGCCTGAGCGCCCGAGGAAGCGGCGGAGGTGGACGCGAGGAAGCTGCGAGGTCGGCGCTGGACGGGGAACGGGGCGGCGGCCGTCCTTGCACGCGGCAGCGTAGCAGCGCCGCGCCCGCGGCCACCGTCGGGCATCGCCCGCAGCGCGCCATGCCGGGAGGCGGGGGCTCCGCCTCCGCGATCTGGATGGCCGCTGCGTCGGGGATATTTGGTGGCTGTCGGTGGGGGGTGGTGGTCGCGGGCGGGCGTGGCAGAGGCCGCAGGGACGATCGGACGGACAGGGGATGTGCACTGTGGATGAATAGTGATCTGTGAGAGGAAACCGAAAAGGCCCTGTAGCTAAGTCACCACGTTTAGAGATCTTGATAGATAGATATATATTTGCAATGCCAACTTTGAGTTTATTCAGCCTCGATCTCTCTGCCTTATTAGCTTGTTTCTTGTAATTTTCTTTGTGCTGGAAGGAAAGGAAAAAAAGAGAGCGAGTGTGTTCAACAAATTAAATCAAACCATGCATCTTGTTGCTGCTGCTGCTAGCAGTGGTCGATGGAGTTGACAAGCAAGCAGTCGATCGCCACCGTGCTGCAACAAAGCATGTATGCATTGGTCCACGGAAGTCCACAATTGTGTAAATAGCCGGCCGGCGACAGCTTCCTCTATTTTTTCCAGAGTCAGGTAATGGTCACACTCACACTGACACGTCTCGCCTATGTTGGAGGGAAACGATGGACGCGCGTGGAAGAAGAAGAAGAACCGCCGGGTCATGTCGTTGTCGTGGTCACCTCGAGCAAGACTTTTGTACGTAGAGTAGACTAAAATGTTTGCAGGCACACCTTCCGCCAGAGGGAGGGCCAAGTGGAGGTCTGCTTTTTTGTTTCATCGTCCAGAGTCCAATACAAAACAGTAGTACGATGGCCGATGGCCCTCTACCTGTAATCCTAACCTATCCTATCCTAGTACTACTACTAGCTAGACAGTGGACCGGTGGAGCGAGCATGGCAACTAGCTGCGGCACGCAGCTGCCGGCAACGTAAATCAGGGGCTAAAGCTTATTCTCTGTCAGAGCGAACGTTTGATACTGACTAAAAGCACTAAACATAAGCTAATTATTATAAAATTAATTGCATTTGGTCATAAGCTCGTGGCTTCAATTACAGCAGTTTGAGGAATCTAACTTTAAATCCTAATTAATACTTACTGAGTTGGACTAACCTAGCCATATATTTGCTTTAATTAACAGGAGTATTCAGCCAAATACATGAACCATAATTTCTAGGCTTAATAGATTCGTTCCGCAAATTAGTCTTAAACTATGCAATTAGTTTTATAATTGATCTATATTTAATACTTTAAATTAGTATCAAATATCCGATATCACAGCTACTGAACTTTACCCGCGAGAGAACCAGACACCCGTACTGCAGTTTGCTGCTCCGGCCGGCCCCTCCCCCTGTCGCATGCCATCCATCCGAAATGCATTCATGCCAAGAACAAGATGATAAGATCATTGCAGATGACAAGATTAAAATCACTGCGGCCAGAGAAGGAAGGACACTACCAGCAAGCACCTTCAGTGAGAACTCGGATGGAACTTACTCTGACTCCTGACCACCTTGGGGCCTGCCTATTTGCATGGCCAAAAGTTGTGCATGCAAGTGAAGTCTGCCGTCGATTCGGCCGGCCGGCAGAATAAATGAATGAACACAAAGCAGAGAAAAAAAAAGGTGCTTAGGCCTGTTTAGTTCTAAAATTTTTGATGTTATGAAACCCAAAATGTCACATCTCAATCTAATAGGATCCACAAACAATGTTAGAGTTTTTAAATGTAATTACTGGAAAAAAAAAAAGGAATTTTTCCCAGTTTGGTTGGAAATCATTGAGAGTGAATCTTTTAAATCTAATTAGTCAATGAAAAGCCTTAAGTGCTACAATAACCCACATGTTACTTGCTAATGACCGATTAATTAAGTATCATTAGTTTAGGTATCGCATGTTTTTTCACGATGGGTTATCCAGTGTTGTTTATTTATTATCATCTAAATTGCACTGTTAGCTTAACTGTAGTAAGGAATTTCTTGATTGGTAAATCCATTTCTTGATGTGACAAAAAAAATTTCATCTCACCGACTAAACACCCCCTTAGTGTGAAAAGCGACAACAGGCTTTGCTACATTACTACCACTGTATGTACTTTGTAGCTGTTGCTTGTGCTCCTGGCGGTGGCGGGCCTTCTTCGTCATCATCTCTTATTTTCTGCCAATGCATGGTCCTGAATCAGAGAGAGAGAGAGAGAGAGAGGGGGGGCCATCGCTGCCGCTGGCTTGTTCAATTCATCAGTCTGATGATGCAGATAATGCTGGTCAGCTGGTGACAACATCAGCTGGCCTGCATATGCAGGCCCCGGTGTATGCACATGCACATGCACATGCACATGCCACTCTCCACTGCCGGAGCCCGAAGAGCTCCATACCCAGCTGACTGACACCTCTGCTTAGCCACCGCGTCGCCATCGCACTCGCGCCAAGTGTCAAGAAAGTGTGCATATATACACACGCACGTCGCCCATCGGCACTCACTCCACCAGGCTTCGCTTCATCACCATCATGGCCGCGCATCACCACCACCGCGCCCGCGCCCCGCTCCTCCTCGCGATCCTCTTGGCTGCGGCGGCCGCCGCCTCCGTGGCCTCCGCCGCGCGCGACCTCGACCCCGCCAACCCGCTCCCATCGCCAGCCGCCGCCGCGGGCCGAAACCGCAATCCAGATCCCAACTACTACGGCTACGGCACCGTCCCGGGCGTCGGCGGCACGGCGGGCAACGGAGGCGGATTCTACGGCGGGCCGGGCTACGGACCAGGCGTCGGCGTCCCGGCCGGAGGGTTCGGCTTCGGCGGCGGCGGAGGAGGAGGCGGTGGAGGCGGGTGGGGCGCGGGGTACAGCGGCTCCGGCGGCGGCGGCGGGTACGCGCACGGCGGCGTGGAGGTGCCGACGGTGCTGTGCCAGGAGAAGGGGCCCTGCTACGGCAAGAAGGTGGCGTGCCCCAAGAGGTGCTTCTCGTCCTACAGCCGCTCCGGCAACGGCTACGGCGCCGGAGGCGGCGGCGGATCCTGCACCGTCGACTGCAAGGCCAAGTGCACCGCCACCTGCTGATCGATCGATCGAGTACGTGCTAGGTAGCTGCTCATGGCTCTCCTCGATGCATGCAGCATATATATACAGGAACAGTGTGTGTTCGTACTAGAGATCGAGCCCCTTATTGTGTCAGATTAATCTCAGATATGTTTAAGAACTAGTACTACTTGTGACTTAATTACTGCATGTTGTTGCTACCTACAGTACGTATATATACGTATCCTGATAAATAAGGCGATCATGCATGCATGATCGATGTTGTGTGCGCCGGCTGCCATGCAGTGTTCTTCGATCTGTATAACGACTTTTGCATGGAATTCATTTCCTTTCCAATTGAAGGTTCAATGTATCCAACTTTCTTTTTTTGAGCAATTCAATATGTCCAACTAGCTAGAAGGCTCGGTGTGTACAGCATTGATTCAGTTGAAGACATTCGCGCCAACAAGTAGCTGCCTTTACTTTTTTCCGAGGAACCGGATTTTCATTTCACATGTGACATGTCACATCCTCTTCATCTTTTTTAATCTCTTTTCTTAGCTTGTTGCACCGGTTGTAGCGGCAGCGAGTGCACTCGAGGGGAGGAGTTAGCAAGACCAGTCTCAATACAAGTTTTATGAACATTTTTTTTGCGATGGGGGAATATAGTCTATTTTTTATTAAGAGGAGTGAATTACACGACGCAATTATGAGAGAACTCTCATAGCACAGATTACAAACCACCAAGCTAGTGGTGAGTGACCTGAGATAAACATAGGAACAAAAAAAGAAGAAAAGAAAGAGCGACTGCCCTGAACACCCGAGCCCTACAACTGAGCCTGAAACCAAAGTAATCAAACAATAATTTTTACCACCGCTTAGGGTTCTTTTTTTCTTTTCTTTTTTTACAAAGCAAACTTTTCAAACTCTGACGACTATCGGTGTCTGATATTTTATACTGCATGCAGATATCTACATTATATGAAAACCATCTTTGCAATGTAGTAGCAAAATATTGTTTTTAATCAAGATTGTCAATTTTAAAATTATTGTCAATCCAAGTAAAAGAGATGATTTATAAAATCTTGAGTATCTACTATTTTATTACAGCAGTGTTAATAAATGGCTAGCACTTTAGACAAGGCATGATCAAATAAAAGAATATGCACCATCGACTTTAATGATCACCTATGACCTATGATCACCTATGACATTTGGATTATAACAATAAAAAATATCTAGATAAAGAATCCATGTAATTAAATTAATTAATAGATACTAATTACAATCAAGAAAACAATACTTAAATTACCATGTGGATCAAGAAAGCAAAAAACCTAAACAAAAGAGTCCATATAAAATACAGTTAATATAATAAATAGACAAATTTTGAATAAAGATAGTGACAAAACAATATTTTGACGTCTACTTGTATCCAAATAAAGCAAATATGTAATCTAAATATAAGACAAATGAAAACAATGTATAGATTAAAAAATGCTTTTACGCTCACGGTGCTAGCAATGCAAGTCTCTCTAGATTGGAAAATTAGGATTGGATCTGTTTGAGCCTCAAGCTAAGACAAGGTGGACTTAAATATTTGGGTGAAAAATCGAAGGGACCTAGCCCACCAGCATATGCCAAATTTTCTAGGTTGTAACTGCCTTTTTTGGGCTTTAAGGTCCAAATGGAGAGTGACAAAAGACTGAGCCCACCTAACGCACCACTCTTGTAAAACCCTTCCCCTTGGCTAGACTAGTATAGTGCCCGTGCTAACGCTACGGCAGCATCTATCAATGCAAATCAAACAACCAACGGATATATCTTTTAGTAATTAAGCATAGATTGAGAAAATATTTATAATTCAAGCAAAAAGCGATATAAACAGTTCCAGCAATAAAACATCAGCAATCCGACCAGAACAATCAGTCAGGCAGTCATGATATTACCAAGAAGAAATTTATGAATGAATATCACTTAATCAATAAGCTGGGGCGATTTTAATGGACCTCAATGGCTGTGGCGCTGGCAAGCTGAAACAGATCTGCATAGGTAACACCTGAAAACTTGTCCTTGATCGGTTGGATCAGCTTCAGAGCATTCACAAGACCTATCATGAAACTAAATGTAAGAGTAGCCCCTCATCATTTAATTACATATGATGGATCGAGAAGAGGAAAACAATAATCAACGCAAAGGTTGCTTACAAGCTAGACAAAGCCATGGTGGCAAAGCATCAACGCCCAGAGAAGGCACAGGAATAACCAGCAGCAACGACGGCAAAGCATCCGCCAACGAAGACCAAGCGACCACGGCGGCCAAGTATCCGCCAAGAAGTGAGCCCACACGCTCTTGGTAGCAAAGGATCTACCAAAGAGGGGACCGAAGAGCCAATGGCGGCAAAGCATCCGCCAAGGATTCCGCCGACGGCCAAGTATCCGCCAGGGAAGAAACGACGACGCCCCTAGCGGCAAAGCATCCGCAGAGGGGAGTGCCATGATAGTCTCGGCAGCAAAGCATCTGCCAGAGAGGAGACCAACGACAACGGCGTCAAAGCATCCGCCAGAGATAGATAGCGGCAAAGCATCCGCTAAGAAAGCCAAACGATGACGGCAAGGGGAGAGTGTGCGTGCGTTGTGAGCATTCGCGTTGAACTGTGTAATTCTAAAAAGACAGTAATCAGCTTAACAAATATATATGTTGACATGCATGGCACCATAAAGAGAAATGATCAAAAGCTTTATGAGGTGAAATGAGTTTTATGGGATAAAACTAATCTCCGCTGTTTCCAAATACATGGAAGTATTGGGAACTAGAGACACGAAACCTGCCCTGAAACTGGCGTTACGAGTCCATCAACCCGTATTATCCCAGAATGGGCTAGAATTTCGATTATGTTTCCAGGATAGCATAAATGGTCATTTACACGTCTGGGGCCGACGGGTCATTATCCTTGTCGCTCCTTGTCATTTTGCAAGTCATGTGTTTAACAAAAGTTCATTCACTAGTGACGCTAAGCTTCACGCCGCTCGCTCAATGCGGACCCTATGTGTGTATCCATTTACACGTGGGGCGTCGGGTCATTATCCTTGCCGCTCCTTGTCATCTTTAGGCCAAAAGTTCATCACTATGGTGAGTTTCATTTTATCCACTTTTAAGATCGCCACGGTCAGCTTTGCTAATTTAAAATGAGAAATAAAATATGTTGTCTCAATGGAGAGTTTCATTTCACTATTTCCAAAACAAGATGCATGAGTTAATATATGCATGTCACTAGCTTTCACGTGCAAGTTAGTTTTCACACTACATGCAAGCTTGTTTTCACACACGTCAAGGGAGCGCCGTGCACAGGTGATCGCTAGGTGTGCTAGAAAATGAAACGAAACCTCTCTCAATGGAGTTTCATTTGTGTTGGTAATTGTGACGGATGAGTTTACTCTTTTCTCTCTCTCTCTCTTCATTAGTACACGGAACTCAACAAATATGCTGATGTGTCACATTATTAAATAGGAACGAAAGACGATAGAGGCATCATCGAAATTGAACATGTGTAGTTTTGCAGTGGCTATGATGGATGGTCAGAGCCTTTAGCCTCGTTGGATTTGGGATGTGGGCTTTGGAAGGTGGAAGGAACAGGAGCAAGCAAGGCAGGCAGATGCACTACGTAATGGGCTGTTCGTTCATTACAGTAAACAAACAGTGAATTCAGGAACCAAATGAATGAATCCCGGCCCGAGGCCCGTTTGTGATAAGGGCCACGGTTTTTGCCTGTTGGATCCAGATCCGATTCTGTGTTGGCTCAGGGTGCGCGTGTTTTTCGACCTTAATTAAGTCTTATAAACAAAATATTAAAACAAAGACATCTGGGGTAATAGGGGATGTAGCTCAAATGGTAGAGCGCTCGCTTTGCATGCGAGAGGCACGGGGTTCGATCCCCCGCATCTCCATTTTTGCTAAGATTTTTCTTTTCGGCTTACTTAATTTCTTTCATTCTATTTTTTATGCATAATATATACTCCATCTGTCCTAAAAAGAGTGTCGTTTTTTTTTACTTTTAGACATCTTGTTTGACCATCCGTCTTATTCAATTTTTTTTTGTAAAAATATCGTATTTTTGTTATGACTTATTTTATCATTAGAGATATTTTACTAATGATTTATTTATTTTATAATTTACGTACAATTTTTTAATAAGGTGAAAGGTCAAACACGATGTCTAAAAATAAAAAACATCTCTGTTTTTGTGGGACCGAGGGAGTACAGTATATAGTAAATAAACATCCATATTAAAAAGAAGCACTCCGTATTTTTATTTTGTTATTACGGGCGACGCACGTAGGTACTGTACTGTAGCTGAATGCATGTGTGAATGCTGTCCAATGCAAGAACCAAAGTTTGTTTTGCAAGTCTGACCCGTCCGAGGCGATGCGCGTGGTCAGGGAGGACGGACGGACAGACAGCGTGAGTGATGGATCGGCCCGGTCAGTCAACGCCCTTTGAATTGAATTCGGTCATCATCATTCATCGTCACATTCCATCGCCTGTTTGTCTGAGCTTGTTCGACGGTGAGAGAAACCTAGGAATAATCTGATGAATCCAACAGCTACAGGCCTACAGCTTCTTCACTCTTCAGCTTGTTTGACCAGCCATTGCCAATTGCATCCAAGGCGCTGCTGCAGTCAGCCATGACGCCCAAGCCCATGCTGCACGCGCGCACAGGAGTTGAGTTGTACACGACGACTGAGATGCTCATTACACGTGTATCCTATCGAGTGTCACAATTATATAAGCTCCCTCCGATGGATTGATCCAGGAACCTAGTACCTGGAATCGAACGGGGGATCGGAGTGGGAGTGCTAACACGTACAGCAACACCAGACAACCAGCTACCAACACTGCTTGTTTATTTATTTATTACTAGTACGTGTACTAAACATCTACAGTAGTACAATCTATCTGCTGTCACTAGCGCTAATTAACTGTTGTAATTAACACAACATATGCATGTCTACTACTTGGCCTGCGATGCGATACATACTACTGTATGATCCAGTCACCAACGACGTACGTACACAAGCAGTAGAGTACTCCGTAACAAGTAGCAGTAGCGCAGGCAGGCAGCTAGAGGAAAGCGCCGTGCTGTGGCTGCGCCGCCGTCGCCGCCTCCACCCCGCCGGCCATCGGGAACGAGAACCACGGCGCCGCCGCCGCGACGTACGCCTGCTGCTCGCCGCCGGGGCGCACGGGCCGCGGCTGCACCACCGGCGCGGCCACGCCCACCACGCGGTGGTGGTGCTGGTGCTGCTGCTGCTGCGGGCGCCGCAGGGCCGTGGGCGGCGCGCCGGTGAGCCTCTGCACCAGGTCCCGGAACTCCCGGGGCTCCACGCGGTACACCTTGGGCGGCGGCCGGGGCGCCGCGGATGAAGGCGCCCCGCCGCCTCCGCGCGGCCACGGCTTGTTCTGCGCCGCGGCCCTCAGCGCTGCCTCGTGGCCCTGCGGCACCTCCATTCTGCTTGGTTTTAGTTTCTTGGGTGATTGGAAGAACCAAGAGGGAACTACAGCTAGCAGAGGGAAGGGGATCCTTAGCTGCTTTCCTGGAAGTGGAATGAAAGAGACCGAGACAGATGAGAGCGTGTGGCGTGTCATACATATTTATATACAACTCCCAAGCTATGGGCTAGTCGTCGTCGTCGTCTCGTCTGTACTCTGTAGGAGTACGTATGGTAGCGTGGAAGCCTGTAAGGGAAGGGAAGGTGGTGGCGTGGCGGGCGAGGGCGACAGACGCACCAGGAGCCACGTGTTTGGAATCGGGAATTTGGGACGGTCAATGCTGGAAGGCGCCCGCCGTGCCTGCCTCCTCTGCTCCTCTCTCTCTCTCTAACAAACCACCATCATCAGCCCGTTTGAGCTACTGTAGTACTTTCGTTTGTATTGGGTAATTAGTGTCTAATTATGTTTGAAAGTTTCGTCTCATAATTTCTCACTCAATTATGCAATTAATTTTTTTTCATCTATATTTAGTACTCCATACATATGCCGTAAGATTTAATATGACGAATACTTACGTACTCCCTCCGTCCTATTGAGTTTGTCGCTCGGGAAGCGGGATTATGAGGGGGGCACGGTTTTCAAACGACAAACTCAATGGGACGGAGGGAGTAAGAATTTTTGGGAACTAGACGCACCCTTAGGATGGGTGGATCCGTGCTCATCAATCAGCCGTTCAGTTGGCCGGAGTAGGGTGTAGAGTAGTAGATTATTGAGGTCCTTCCTCAGAAGCATCGCCGCCACCTGGACCTCGGTGTTACCGGGACCACCTATCTAAGCTCTAGGCTAGGCAGGCTAGGGGTCATCCGCCTCGATTTGATGATGATGGTGATGTGTCATGTCATGTGCTGCTTCATCACCTCATCACCGGAACTGGCTTACCCTCCTGCCTGCCTACGTGGACGATGGATGCTTCCTTCCTTCTTAATTCCCATCTACTGTAAATATATGATCCACAACCAACCAGGTTGGTAGAGCAACTCCAACCACGTCTTAAAAATTTAACTAGTAAAAACCTGGTCTTTTCTTGAAAAGCCCAAACAATCTACTCTAGTTTTGAAACAAAGCTTCTGGATCGGTACTCCAATAAAAACACACGTGCCGTTGTCGATGTACAGGCAGAGCCGACACAGACATCCTCGGTTTTTCCAAGCGCAGATGGATTCGGAGCTCTAGGGTAAGTATGTAGTTGTTTTTTTCCTCCATCATATAAAAAAAACAAAAACAAGATTGATAATGGGTTTACCCAACTACTATGAAAAGGTGCTCTAATAAATTTAGTACTAGGCCTAAATCTGATATCTACATTTCCATCTCACCAAAGCTGCTAGAACATGCAAAGATTCCCCTACATACAGCTGGAGTGCTGAGCACGCCCGCCACAGCAGCCAACAAAATAGTAGAATGACTCGGACATTTCGATGGGTTGCATCGTCGTCTCACCATCATATCGCCCAGCCCAGTCAAACAGAGGTGGCTAGGGGTAGGCTACCTACCCGTTCCATGCACGGACATAGGCCTTGCCTGTTTTCGACACCCGTGTGTACTAGAAGTTTAGGAGGAGTAGTATCAACTGAACCTTTATTTATATAAACCGCAATAGTTGAGCGAGCTGGCTAATCTTTTTTTTATAAGCTAGATGTTTAAAATTATAGTTTACAAATAAACTATAAGCTAGACTATTTAGATCAGTTAAACCTTTTAACGGCTAGCAACTTATTTTAGTCAATCCAAATGTTGCCTTGCTTGCTTCATTGACTCTAAGAATAATGTACTGTACGGAGTAGTAACAATTAGTAATATCTCCAGAAATTTTTTTTCTACTTATAAAGTACTCCGTAAGTACTAGTAACGATCCAAATGTTGACAAACATGACCTGAATTATTGGTCACAATTAGTAATTCAGGTCCTGTTTTGTACAGTAACAATTAGTAATTAGTAGTACCTACTAGTAATAAGTGAAAATAAGAGAAGACACAAGGAAAGGAAGTGACGGGGAACAAACAGGACCTGAATCATCGGGCCGTGGGCCTTCAATCTGCCCTAATTAAATCAAATCGATCGACACTATTTTAATAATAATACAGTTCAATTCGTTTCGTTTCCGGCGTGCATGCATGCATGTTACACGTGCACGCGCCGGTAGCGGATCGGAACTTGCATGCTACCAGTATCGGAGTAGCAGGGTAGGTAAGCACACGTACATGTGCCTCGAATTAAATAAAAAAATAAAATACAATACTGAATGAACAATACTAAACAATGCATGCGGTAGGTGCAGCGCCATGCATGTTTCACGTGTTCAAACAAGGACGGACAGTACACAGCCCGCGAATTCTTTTTCAGGTCTCGTGGTACGTTGCAGTGTACCCAATTCAAAAGGCTTCCTAAATACAACGCATTCCATGCCAAGAATACAATAATACGTATTAGTCAAAGCAGAACGCGTTGAAGTCAGAAGAAGAGGAACTCGATATTTGTATCTGTACAAAATCTTGTAAAAATCCCAATGCAACACTACACACATGTGCAAATCCTTAGCCCGTGCTAATGGCTAGATACAAAGCAAGCAACTACGTGCTACACTGTGCAAGCAAAGCACATATTTGATGCAAGCAAAGGGCTCCTCTCCCCTTCCACAGTGCCATCCACTAGCTGAGCCAAAACCCCAACTACAATAGTGTGTCGGCGGTCGTGGGCCGATATAACTGATTCCACTTCGTCAACCTTCCGGTAGGCTCAACAGCTCCCTACCTCCGTTGATCCATGGAGCCATGGAGACGACAGGGACCAGCACGGTCATCGCCTGGCTGGTAGCTCTATGCATGTGCTTGGCCCCCCCTGGAGGTAGGGGGGCTTGAGCCCCCTACTAGATCTGTACTTGTGTCCCTGACCTAACTAATTAACACCACCAGGTTGGAGACGCGGGCGGCACCACATGTACCACGACCACTAGAACGACCTCGAGCTCAGGGCACCCCTTAGGCGAGTACCTTGGTATGTCTCCCCTTAGGCGAGTACCTTGAGTGCATATAATGGACAAGTGGTAGGCGCTAGTTGATCAAGTAATCTGGCACCCTCGATTTGTTTAAGTACTCTATCCATTTCAAATTGTAAGACATTTTGGCTTTCTAGATACATGCTTTAACTATGTATGTAGACATAGTGTATATCTAAGTGCATAGCAAAAGATTTATCTTTTATAACTAAATAGGAGATCCCCACTAGCTTATTTTCCTGGCTTCTCCTAAGCCACGCCGTCCTCTTTATTTGGACCCGCTTTTCCTCCATGTGCACTAAGCCACCGATGGAACAACCTTTCTGGATCTATCTATACGGAACTTGCGTGATCTGAGGCCTCTGGATACCCGAGTGATTTAACAAACAGATATCACACAAATATCTAGTATCAATAAAATTCAAAACTGAGTTATAATTTGGAATGAAGGGGTATTATTTTAACGAATAATTGTAGATTTAGGTATTATTAAACAAAAATTGCAATGCTGGTTATTTTTTCATAATGACATACGTGGATAGTATAAATATACTTTATGTTACTTTTAGTAACAGCAACAAATTAAAGACAAGTAATAAGATAATAATAATTCTCGGGCGCAACGGTTACGTGAGGATTATTAGTGAAGTCTCCAGCTAGTACTCCCTCCATCCAGAAAAGAACGTAATTATGGAAAGCGTGCCGGTCAAACTAGCTTAAGTTTGACCAAGTTTATAGAAAATAATATTAGCATTTATCACTACTACACAAGATCTTTTACGAGGCGTTTTGAAATTAGCCTCGGAGACGGGCAGACTTTTAAACCGCCTCGGTTAATGGCTAGGATTAATCGAGGCGGACACAGTCGACCGCCTCAAAACTCAATTTACCGAGGCGGTTAAAAAAATAACCGTCTACTAAAATCTATTTACCGAGGCGGGCATTATAAGGCTCGCCTCGGTTAATATCCCTGAGGCCCATCAAAAAGCCCATATCCAATAAACTATCGGGTTCATATATATATATACAGAAGGGGTGTTAGGGTTTCACTCATTTCTCCCTCACTCAGCCGTCACTCCCTTCCTCCCTTACTCCCCCAGCCCGACGCCGCCTCCCCTCCCAGCCCCCAGCCCGACGCCCTCTCTCCTCCCCTCCATCCGGCGGCGCCCCTAGCCCGACGGCCTCTCCCCTCCCCTCCACGGCTCGCGGCGGTCGGAGCACGAAGCACGGCGGCACTCCTTCTCCACCACGGCGCGTGGAGCACTGCGCGGCTAGGATGGGGAGCACAACCGGGCGGCGCTCTTTCTCCACCACGACACTCGGAGCACGGCGTGCCGCGTGGCGCCTCCCTCTCCTCTCTCTCTCTCTCGCGTGCGGCCCCTCCTCCACAACCAGGCGGCGGCGGCGACCCTCCAGGCGACGCTCCTTCTCCACAACCGGATCCGTGTGGGTGGCTGATCCACCGCTGCCGGATCTAGGCGTCGGTGAGCATATTCGACCGAAGACAAGCATCTCCGACCGGCGAGGAGCGGTGTACGCGGAACCAGCGGCGGATCCGGCTGCGGCGGCGCGGGGCCTGCACCCCCGGCGACGGCGGCCCAGATCTAGGCACGGTTAAGGCTAGGTCCGGGCTTTTTTTCTTTTTTTATTTGATCTACCAAGGCGGGCACCCAAACGTCTCGGAAAATACCCTATTTACCGTGACCTTTGTGCCGAGGCGGTTGCGATGCCCGCCTTGGTTAATCGTTTTTGCATGCCTCAAACAAGTTTTCTATAGTAGTGTATATTTTCAAATAAATTTATTATGAAAATATATTCTATAACTAATCTAATGATACTTATTTTATTTCATAAGTGTTAGTACTTTTTATATAATTCTAGTCAAAGTCGGAACGTGAGAATTGCACTCTTTTGTGGACGGAGGGAGTACTAAATAGGGTATAATAGTTGTTGCCCACCCAG